CGGAGATTCGACCTAAGGAGTCAAGAACACACTGGGAGCAAGGCGGAGAATTCTTCAACAAGTTTTTCCTTCCTCTTCCTATTTTTCATTGTTGGTTATGATTTTTAGTATTGTAGTTTTACATACTATTATGAATAGCTAATTTTTTATCTAGGGTTTTGATGGAACCTTTTGTAGGATAAACTCTTGTTATGTTTTTATATAATTGAGCCATTGGATTTCTCTACTTGTTCAACTACGTGTTTATTGTTGTTGATTGAATCGCCATCGATTGACTGTGTCTATTTATTATGTGTTGCTTGAGAAAGGATACATATTTAGGTAGTTGTTGAACAACATCACTCCTAACTTATGTGAGAGATCAATACGGAGGGTTTAAAGGCGGGATTAGAGATAACGAAACCTTGGTGCGATCGTAGTGAGCAGTGAATTAATGTCAGCTAGTGTAGTTCGAGAGAATACATCTAGTAAATTATGGTAGTTGCTCGAGAAAGAATTACGACAACCAAAGTACTCACAATCGGTAGAGAAAACATTGGCGAAGTTATAGGGAACATAGATAGAAGGATTCCGACAATTGGGAAAATCATAACTCTAGACCTCCTTAATATTTTCTCCAACCTGTAGTATCTTTAGTGTTAATTATTATTTTAATTTGTTAGTTAGTTAGTTAAACACAAGAATCTTAATATCTATAAGTTAGGAATTGTTCAAGTTTGTATTCTTGGTGATAGTGAACAGCTATAGCTAAGCCTTAGTTCTCTGTGGGATTCGACTCCAGACCTTTAGACCGGATTATATTTGCAGTGACCGCTTATCCTTTTTAGGACTAGAGTTGGGCGTGATCACCCGACCCTTTAGAATAACAAGAACAACAATAAGCCTAAACTTATCACCTTTCTTGAATACCTAGAAGTGATCTAAGATTTCGAAAGAGTTTAATCTTACCACCTTAAGTTGAGTCTTGAAGGTTGAAGAATAAATCCAAGAGTAGCCACACACAAGAGTGCAAGAAAAACTTAGTCGAACCTTCGGAACACTCAAAACAATATCAAAACACCAAATCACCCTTGGATTCAAGCCTAAGAACTTCTAAACTTCCAAATTTCGCAAACGACGCCAAAACCTACTAAATCACCTCCGAATGACCTGAAATTCTGCACACACGTCATAAATGATGCCACAGACCTATTCCAACTTCCGAAATTCCATTCTGACCCCGATATCAAAATTTCCACTGCCGACTGAGAATCGCCAAATTTTTAATTTCGTCAATTCAAGCCTAATTCTACCACAGACCTCCAAATTACATTCCGGACGCACTCCCAAGTCAAAAATCACCTAACGGAGCTAACCGAACCATCAAAATTCACATCCGAGATTGTTTACACATAAGTCAACATCCAATTGACTTTTCCAACTTAAACTTCTAAATAGGAGACTAAGTATCTCATTCCACTCCGGATCCGAACCAACCAACACGATACGATGAAACACAGCTGCGGAACACATAAGGAAGCATAAATGGGGAAAAAAGGAGCTATAACTCATGAAACGACCTGTCGAGTCGTTACATATCTCACATGGAATCAAATAATCAGAAAATATATATAATCTATAGCTCTTATACAATAACTTTTAATACTTGAAAATATTAAAAGAATAAAAACAATTGTAGTTAAAGAATGTGTTATTTGACTCATCAAATAAATAATATCATATAAAATAAAACTGAATGAGTAGTATTTATCAATTCTAAGTAGGGGTGTTCACGGTTCTGTTTGGTCGGTTTTTGATTGAAACCAAAATCAAACCAATTTAATCGGTTTTTAAAATTTTAAACCAAAACCAAACCAAATTAAATACAAACTATCGGTTTGGTTGTTGTTGGTTTGGTTCGGTTTTTCGGTTCTTAGCAAGCTAATGATAAGTAGATAATTAAAACGACATTAGACAATAATCAAAAAATAATTTAACTAATTACCATCCTTTTATAATTAAAATTAAGATAACAGGGGATGTCAGGGCCTGCGGACGCCTGCAGGACTACCTTGGGTCTCCTGTATGCAGTAACAACAACCAACCTCTCGATTAGCCACTAGCTCCGAAATCTGCAAAGAAAGTGCAGAGTGCAGTATCAGTACAACCGACCCCATATACTGGTAAGTGCCGAGCCTAACCTTTATCCTTTTATAATTAAAATTAAACAAAACATTATCCTTTATCAACCGACCCCATGTACTGGTAAGTGCCAAGCCTAATCTTTTTTCTTTATCCTTGTATAATTAATATTAAACAACCGACCCCATGTACTGGTAAGTGCCGAGCCTAATCTTTTTCCTTTATCCTTTTATAATTAAAATTAAACAAAACTAAATCAGCGAAAATAAAAGCGGAAGTACATAATTTAACTAATTACCATTACTATTAACCAAAAGCCGAAATAGATACCACCAGAAACCGGTGTCACAACTCACGAACATTCTACGAATACTACAAGTAATGGTTTGCAGGAAAATACATTTGTCTCGAAGAAAGTAAAACAGAAAGGAAGTAAAGATAGCAGGGGACGCCAGAGCCTGCAGACGCCTGCAGGACTACCTTAGGTCTCCTGAATGCAGTAACAACAACCAACCTCTCGATCGGCCACTAGCTCCAAAATCTGCACAGAAAGTGCAGAGTGCAGTATCAGTACAACCGACCCCATCTACTGGTAAGTGCCGAGCCTAACCTCGACAAAGTAGTGACGAGGATACGCCGGGGCATATCTATATAGAACCTGCAACAGTTTATTCTAAGACAGAAAGGGAATGCGGAATGATATATAACAGTAACTTGCATTACATAAACACGGAACCTAGTCGTTCTACCAATACTTAGCTATAACCAATCCTCAAGGGAGTTTCACCATCACAATAATGAACCTCACCAGGAGAAGAATACATAAACAACAAATGATGCGGCGCGCATCCCGATCCCGCCATATAATCAATAACAGTATAAATACTCACCCTTATTACTCCTTGTTGCGGCGTGCAACCCGATCCCTCCAGTCCATCCTTATTACTCCTCAATAATCACCCTTATTCCTCCTGTTGCAGTGTGCAACTCGATCCCACATGTCCACCCTTGTTACTCCTTGTTGCGGCGTGCAACCCGATCCCAAGATCAAAATACGGGCTCGACACTAACAAGATCAAATCTTTTAAATTATTACATTTTTAGTCTTATCAATTTTCTTCAAAATTCATTTCTCGGGCTAGGGACCTCGCAATTCGATTCCGAGCATACACCCAGGTCCCATATTTTATTATGGACCCTCCGGGATCGTCGGAACACGGATCAGCGTCCGTTTACCCAAAATGTTGACCAAAGTCAACAAAAATCATCTTTTTAAGCCAAAAATCATCTTTTCTTAAATTTTTCACGTAAGGGCTTTCCAGATACACGCCCGAACTGTGCACGCAAATCGAGGAGAGATAAAAAGAAGTTTTCAAGGCCCCAAAACACGTGATCGGATTCTAAAACAATTTTACTTTGCTCTAGTTATCACAAAATTCACATTTTTACTTGAAAAGTCTATTATGCCCTTGGTATTGTATAAACCTTAATATTTATGTAATACCTTCTATATTATATACTAATATAATATATTTTTAACTATGTATTTTATTTATAAATAAAATAACTTAATATTATTTTATAATATATTCGTATATTTAACTTTTTTCTTAACATTAATTTTTAAATATATTAGTAGCGTTATTAAATTTGTCACTAACGTTAATATATATTAGTAGAAAAATAAATCAGCAAGTACATTTCCGTGAGAAAATTCGCAGGTAAACAAACAAAAAAAATGATGAAAAATCATATGTTAATCTGAAGGAAGGTAACTCTACATGTGAATTTAGCTGGAAATATTTTCTTGGGGATTTACCCGGGTAATTGATTATTTGGAAAATTATACTACCAGAAGTTCGGGAAATCGTCCAAAAAAACCGACCAAAGTTGGTCGGTAAGAGCCAATAACCGTCCAAAAAACCAACCAAAGTTGGTCGGTAAGGGCCAATAACCGTCCAAACGCGACCATTAACGTATGGTCGGTATTTTGAAGGTCGGAAGGGCATACCGACCAAAGTTGGTCGGAAATTACCGACCAACTCTGGTCGGTCAAATAAATTCAAAAAAGAATTGCTGAAAAAAGTTATTTTATAACGCTACTAATATATCTTGAAATAAAATTTAGAAAAAAATTAAATATACGAATATATTATAAAAATAATAAATAAAATAATATTAAGTAATTTTATTTATAAATAAAATACATAGGTAAAAATATATTATGTAGTATATAATATAGAAGGTATTACATAAATATGAGGGTTTATATAATATCAAGGGCATAATAGATTTTTCAAGTAAAAAAGTGACTGTTGTGATAACTAGAGCAAAGTAAAATGATTTTTGTGTAACAAAAGAAAGAGAAATGACTTTTGTGTAATGAACACAAAGTTGAATGTTTTTTACGTAACAAAAAAAGTGATCTTTGGACAACAAATACAAAAGTTCAATGACCATGAATAAAATTATCTCTAAGTTAGAGTTACGGTGATCAAGTTCAATCCATCATGTGATCCAAGCTCATAATAATTGAAACCATTTATGATCATTTGATGAAAATGAAGCTCCTGACTGCCACAACTTTGTCCTTTTACTTGTGTTGCAATATTCTTTTGAATAATGTGCAGTAATGAGTGATATTTATAAATTTATGAAAGCTGGTAACTGAATTCTACTTAAAAAAGCAAAGCTGGTAACTGAATTCTACTTTAAAAAGATGCATTTTTCCACAAAAAGAAACATTTCTGTTTCAGTAGAATCCAAACTCAAGGCCGCGTGGATCCCACAAAATGAAAAAAAAAAAATTAAGATAGAAAATTCTTTAATTGGATAATAGTAATATATATACAAGAAAAAAGAATCATTGCCACGTCGTCAGCTTCCTTCATCCTTCAGTCTCTTTCGTCACAACCATTTTATTACCTTTCTCTCTCTCTGAGATCTTTTTTAAGGGCCGACCTAACTCCTACACTTTTTATTTATCAATCTAACTGTAACTACTTCATATTTTTGCTGTATCAAATGTGTGTATAAAGTGTGCGAATTCAAGAGACTTAGACTAGAAATAGAAAAAGTAAAAAAAGGAAATGGAGAATGGAGAAGTAGAGAACAAAGGAGTTTCCTCGTTGGAAACCGTCAACGGCGGCGAAGATGTATTTAGTTCTAAAGAATCCGATGCTTCCACCGCCGACCATCTTGTTATGATGGTTCACGGTATTCTCGGAAGGTAATTAGCACAATTGTGGTTTTATATATATAATGCGTTAGTATCATCTTTTTTTCGCTTTTGATTCTCGAAATATAGTGAAATTAGAAGAAAATCGGAGAATTTTAATTCAGCTTTTTGAGAAATTAACTTCTTACGCCTTAGCTCCTGTTCGATGATGATTTCATGATTTTTAAACATTTGTTGTACTGTTTGTTTAATTTGCAGTATTCATGTACTTTTTTCTTCAAGACATCACGTAAAGCTGCAGTTTTTCTTCTTCTTTTTAATCTAATGTATCAGCATTTTAAGCCCCTTAATTTGGAGCTATTTCAGTTGCTTCATTCTTTCGGGAAATTTTTGGACCTATTTTATTCTCGTATCGTTGATATAGTCTCCTTCATAGATAGTATTGCGCTTTAGCCAGATCGCAAGAATTCCCCTTGCTTGGAGATGAGAAAATGTGAATTATAAATCTGATGTTACTAACACATAGAGAAAGCTGCTTCTGATCTACTCTCACTCGATTCTTCCATCCGTAATAAAATTAAGATCTTTGGTATGAAGGAAAATGTTATTGCCCAGAATATTTTCTTGGGAAATGTTTTCCGGTGTTTGATTGGTTAGTGAAAAATATTTCTTACAGATTAATCTATTGTCAACAACTTGGATAGTGTTCTGCATTGAAATTTTTGAGTGTTAAAGATTGAAGATATTTGCCACTTTTGATGGAAAACACCACAAAATCACTTCCTATATTTCCCGTCATACCAAACACACTCTGAATTGCTTAATTACTTACCAACTCTGACTGGGGCTATCAATTCAGTTTGACGTCAAACTTCCATCATGGGACAATTTTTTGTGGAGTAGTGATAAATTCTTATCAAATAAATTAGTGCTTTTGTGGTATTGGTTTAAATAAAATCTACTTATTGCTGGATTTATTGTTTTTTTGTAAATTGCTTATTAAATTATTATTTTGTATTACGGCAGTGCCTCGGACTGGAAGTTTGGTGCTGAGCAGTTTGTTCGGAATCTTCCTGACAAAGTTTTTGTTCATTGTAAGTACATACATTGAGTGGCACTGATACTTGTTTGTGTTTCAGCAGTTAGTTCTGCATGTTGTGTTTTTTCCACCCTCTAATCCTCCTCTCTTAGGATTAGGTTGCTATTGCTGTAAATAAAATATACTTCTATTCTTGCTTGCTATGTTGATAGACAAGGTAAGTAGGTTTGACTTACTTTATCTTCATTTTCTCTAGAGAGGCGCTTAATCTGTTTTTTTTCCTTCCACACTCAGCCTCTTATGCTATGTAATTTCCCTTTCCACAGCATTGTTTATGAATGACATAACAAGGATTAGACTAAAGGACTAAATTTCTAATTTATTCCAATATGTTCTGTTCCAGCAATTTTCGACCATGAGATTGTTGTTTTAGGAGACCAAGTGAATTTAATTGGCTGTTGCTTGAGCTCTTATCTAATAACATTCACTTCGCTTTGTTATTTGTCACAGTTAAAGATGTATATTGGTCTACTTGGTGTCACTTTTTGGTAATCATTTGTCCATCTACATTGGTGGAGTATTGTTGCTCAACTTAACTATTAGTTATGATCTGAATCTCCGAAAAAAGAAAAAGAGAACCTATGAGTTATGATCTGAAGTTGTTAATGGCTACATGTCTTGTTCAAGTCTAATTTTTACATTTTGTATCTTGTAACAATTGTTTGTTCATATATGTTTCTCATCTAGAAGCTCTCATTCTAGTTGAAATTAAGATAGTATACCAGTGAATCTTGCATATTAATATTATATCAAGAGACCTTAATATGTAGTAGCTGGTGAAGGAAAAGTTGGGTTCCGTTACTCTAGGGAAAAGCCCTTTTACTTCTTATATAGAAAAGAAATACATTTTCATAAGTGGTGAAACTTGTTTCTTATGTGAATGTTGAACTTTAAATTTCTTTTAGTTTACAACTCCCTCATCTCATCCTTTCTTCCAATGGGACCGTGAACTTTGAGTTTTTCTAGCAAAAATTCAAGCTTTTTCTCATTGATAAACTGCCAACTAAAGGTGCAAATCTGCTCTGATTGTGGTTCCCAACTTCATTGGTCCCTTTCTAATTTGCGCATACTTGTGTTAAATCGATAGCACAATTATTCAGTAACAAGAGATTTCCTTTTCGTGCTCATGTGGACCCTATTATATCTATGTCTCTGTTTTACCTTCTTCATAATGGCTGAGCACTTGGAAGTCTGCAGTGTCTTAATGAACATTATTTTGCATTTTCATGAATGATGAACATGATTTTCTTGGCAGGCAGTGAACGTAATATGGCTAAACTAACATTGGATGGTGTGGATGTAATGGGCGAGCGGTTGGCTGAGGAGGTTGTTTTTTTTAATAATGTGATTTGATTTTCTTTTGTTCCGCCCCGTTCCTTTTTCTAATATTTTCTTTAAAGCATGCTGTATGTACCCCATCTGATGGTAATGATATGGAAATGGATGTTAGGTTCTTGAAGTGATCAAAAGAAAGCCAGGTTTGAAGAAAATTTCTTTTGTTGCACATTCTGTTGGAGGAGTAGTGGCAAGATATGCAATTGGGAAATTATATAGACCTCCAAGAATGGAGAATGTGGAGAAGTTCTCAGCCGATGCCAGTGAAGAAGGGTCAAAGGGCACAATAGCTGGCCTGGAACCAATAAATTTTGTCACTGTTGCATCACCTCATCTGGGTTCAAGGGGTAACAAGCAGGTATAAATTTATTTTTTGAATAATAATCTTACAAATAATTTAAGGTTTGATAGAAAGTGGCTTCATCATGTGTCACTGATGAACAAAGATCAATCATTGCTTCGATGATGCCTTATGTCTCTTCTGGTGAAGCTTTCTCTTGGATGGGAGGGGTTCCATTTCTTGGTGTTTTGAGACTGTTGGCTGTGAAGTTTAGTTAGTGCTTAATGTGTCACTTAGCGAACCACTATCATGGCTTTAGAATCACTTTGTGATGGATTTTAACCTGGGGATTATGGGTGGTGATGTCCATGATTTCACGCTTAATGTTTTTGATTACCGGGGGTCTAGTGCTGGTGTAAAGATATAATAGTTTAATCATAAAGCACCCATTATACAAGTTTTTAGTTTATGTATTAATATCAGAACTATCAGGGGGAAAAACCCATCAAAACTCCTTAAATGACAGATTCCTCATCTAAGAGTATCATCTCCATCCTTTATTGATGTAGTAGCAAGTGCTGAGACAAATATCAGCAAAAAACCTGAAAAAATATTTAATAAATTCACATGTTTGACAAAGGAAAAAAACAGCACTACTACTATTAACATAAGATGGTAAAGTAAGATGGAGAAGCAAGGAATGCACTCCACCAAGGGAAAAAAAGAAGAAGGAAAGATACATCTTATTTGTCAGAAAAAATAATCCACATCAGGAAGGACCTGGAAAGACTTACTTCAAGATGCGAAGTTCTACAGCTGCATGAACCGAAATAATAACAGTAAGTATTCCTCCTTTGCAGACAGTGTTGTCTCCCTCCAACTTGATAAGTTATCCAAGGAATGCAACCACCGGGAGATGTTTTTTTTAACTTATGTTAACAAGCCTTATCTTTAGTAACCTCGAAGTTGCATCAGGGTCTTCCTGTGTTTGACTATGATTCCTTCTTTTGATATGAGAACCTCAAAGTTCCTGAAAATGGGAAGCAAACTTGCTGATTAACGTAGAAACTACTTGTAAACTACATTCTTCTACATGGCACAGCGGCTTTTAGAATGATGTAGTCAGTTACGGTTTTTAATCATACTTAATTATCTACTGGTCTAGCTTATAATCAGTATTCTGGAGATATCCTCTTGGTAGATATTGGTCCCTGCTTAATCTTTTGGCCTGTGAAAAGGAAAATATTCTGTTATCTGACAGAAGGATCAAGAGGCAAAAAAATTTCTGTGTTTCTTCTGTCATCAGATCTTTAGGTATGAGTAAGTATTCCTCTTTTCCTCAAGTCTGTTTTTGCATTATTAAGATTGTGAGTTTTCTCCCTACCTTACAAGATCTACTATACCACTGTTGGATTTTTTGCAATTTTTATTTTATTTGCTAATTGTCAGGTGCCATTTCTTTTTGGTGTAACTGCCTTTGAGAAAGCTGCCGGTCTTGTTGTTCATTGGATATTCAAGAGAACTGGTCGACACCTTTTTCTTAATGAAGATGAAGGAAAGACTCCATTACTGAGACGGATGGTGGAAGATGATGGTGAATTATACTTTATGTAAGTTCTAAGATTTATTTACTACGTTCATTAGACAGCGTAGTCCTATCATTTATGAGGGTCTGTGGTAAAGACTATAGTATACGATGCTAATTTGTTGCAAAACTCTTACATGCAGGTCTGCTTTGGCTTCATTCAAGCGAAGGGTCGCATATTCAAATGTTGGTTATGATCGTATCCTGTTTGTACTGTTGAACTTGAATCAGGCAACCGGCCTCTGATATCCAAACTTCATTAAAGACTATTTTTTCCTTAACAAACTTTATTATAGATATTGTAGGTTGGAGAACATCATCAATTAGACGTAATACTGAACTACCCAAGGTACAATAGCTAATATCTGATAGTAGTTACCTATTAAATCTCATGTGCTGTCATAACAATATGTGCTTACAGTGGGAGGACTCCTTAAATGAAAAGTATCCTCACATTGTGTATGAAGAACATTGCAAGGCGTGCGATAGTGAGCAGAGTGGATCTGTTGTAAAGGAAGATGATTGTTTTGACAAGCTAGAAGGTTAGTAACTCTCTGCTTATGGCAAGAAGTTGACTTTAGGTAAATTGTCTCCTGTTAGGTTCTTTCCTCTGATTCTTGCTTTCCCCTAGCTTATGGCAAGAAGTTGACTTTAGGTAAATTGTCTCCTTTTAATGCTTCTTCGCTGAGCTTTTGGTGATGCTATATGTTCTAAAATGTATGCATGATTAATTTTCACTCTTTCTGTTATCTAGTGCTTAGCACCAATATAAAGAATGACTCTGTTGATCCTAAAGTACTATGCAATCTTGTTTGTAAATCATTGTAGTCTTTGGCCATCCGATCTTTTTTAGATAGGAAGTCTTTAGTTGAAGTATTTGTTCTTTTCCAATTGTAATTGTTCTTAAATACAACTGAATTTTAGAGTTTCTGATTTGAGTTTAACGCCTTTTGAATTATATGTTGATAATACCATCTTGAAAAAGAAGGGGAGCCTTGGCGTAACTGGTAAAGTTGCTGCCCTGTGACCAAGAGGTCAAGAGTTCAAGTCGTGGAAACAGGCTCTTGTAAAAATGCAGGGTAAGACTGCGTACTATAGACCCTTATGGTCCGGCCCTTCCACGGAGGCATAGCGGGAGCTTAGTGCACCGGGCTGCCCCTTTTAATACAATCTTGAAGAAGGAAAAGGAAATGAAAAGGATGTTCTATATCTTGGCTTCTTAATATTATATTACTAATTCTTGCTTACTAACTTATCAAGAAAATTTTATAGTGCTAATGCTTTGACCAATTTTCCAGAGGAATTGGTGACTGGTTTGTCTCGGGTGTCTTGGGAGAAAGTAGATGTCAGCTTTCACAGCAGCAGGCTCAGATTTGCTGCACACAGTGTTATTCAGGTCTCACTCTTTCTGTACTCCCCATAGTCTATCTCTCTCTCTCTAGACTCTACATATATATAGATCACATATATATAACCTAGACGAAAGCGTTAATGCACAGAGCATTTTCTGATACTCCCTCCATCCCAATTTATGTGACACAGTTCATAATTTGAGAGTCAAATGAGTTTTCTTTGACTGCCGATTTTTCATAAGCTTTTAAATATTTTGAATTGTTAATTATTGTGACTCATAGTACTTTTTACGTAGTTTCCAAATATGTAAATTTTATTTCAAAAAGCTTAAAGATTTCATGTCCAAGCTCACAGTCAAAATTAAAAGGTTTGACTCTCGAAATCCGAATGGTGCCACATAAATTGAGACAATGAGTATTTTTTTGGTTCTCCAACAACCACAGTTAGTTACATTTTATTATATCGATGAATCAGAATTGTGTGTTTATATTGTCACTTACTATCACTTACACCTTTAAGATAAAAAGCTGTCAATAACTCCTGTTTTTGTCCTTGACGTGTTGCCTTTACCTGTTACCTTGAGTATTACTCCCTTCGTCTCACTTTATTTGATGCAGTTTGACTAGACATGGAGTTTAAGAAAGAAAAAAAAACTTTTGAAACTTGTGGGCTAAAACAAGCCGTAGATATTTGTGTGCCTATTAATCATCTCAATAACGGTAAAGTGTGAAGTCTCAAATTTTATCCTTACCAAATATAGAAAGGTATCTTCTATTTGGGAAGGACTATAATAGGAAAGTGCATCACATAAATTGGGCCGAAGGGAGTAATTAGAAAAAGCATTTACTAGTTATCCTACTTAAACGAGGCATATTCTTTAGGTTTATTTTGTGAGAAACTGCATGTTTACCCGCAAATTTACACTTGGAACAGGCATTATTCCTCCCTATTCCTTTTCCATCTTTTATTCTCTGGGATGCATATATAAAAAAAAAAAAAAAAGTAAATGAAAGAAAAAGAAAGAATAAAAGAAAGAAAAAGAATATAGGTTTGAGGAGAGGGCGTGTCTGTGGTGTTCAAAAATGAAAATTACTTGGACTAGATTGTCTATCATGTGCTTGACTAAAGCCTTTTTCTGCACTGTATTTGACATGGATACTGTGCTGTTTTACTTTCTCCCTATATGTGAAAAGCCAAATCAGGTAGATCCTTCCAGTGGTCACATATACTTAACACCCAAGGTGTCCTGCAATATAATGCCTAATTTGCTTAAACAGATTGAAAGCATCAGGTTTTTGCCAAAATGTTGCCACGTTTTTCACCCCATTTAGTAAAAGTTTAATTGTTCTTATCTTGGTAGGAAACACTTTTTGTCCACCATATAATGTCAATGAGAGCTGAGCTTTTGTAAATGTATTATTTGTCTTGTTGTTTACATGTAACATTGATCAGAGTTGAGTTGTAGAACCGGTAAAGGTGTACATCTTCCGAAATTGGCGACTTTTATGTTTAGTTGTGACTATATAGCTTCAAGAGCATTTCTGCGCTAAATTCTGAGTAAATATGTTTGTACTAGGGTATATTTTAGGCTTGGAGACTGATGGTTGTTAGAATAGTCATGTAATTAGGAGTAAATAACCCTAATCCAATATGTATTAGGAGTAGGATATGTTATGTGTGTATATAGGGCTCATTGTATCGTGTTAAACACAAGTCAATATTAATAAATAATATTTTCTCCCGTGCATTCTCACATGGTATCAGAGCTTTAGTGAGAAACATATCGCTGTGCATCATTCCAGCGACTTCCGGGAAGAAAGACCTCGTCGCCGTGCAATTTTCCGGCGACTTAGAAGGCTGCCCGTAATCACATCAATTTCTGTTGGTGTTTTCAGAAAACCAACACCACCACAAGACTCCTCAGGCTCCGGCGACCAAACCCCAGTAAACCCCACCGGAAAAATCAAGTTAACGCGCCCTCACGCGCCAGAAAATCACCGGCGAGATCTGACCCACGCGCCGGCGCGTGAACACTGTTCCGGCCATTTTTTGAGAAACTTCCAGTTGGACAGTCGGATCGCCTAGTGATTCCGAGTCTGTCCATACCTTTTTCGTTTGATTCCGACCACTTTGAGTTTTTCCGGCGACTACACTGACTTTTTCCGGCAGCTACAGTAATTTTCCGGCAAAACAGTGTTTCCTTCATCTGTTTCAGCGAGTTGTCAGTTGATTTTTTTTCTGTTATTTGGTGATAATCCAACGATGTCTTTGGGAGTCGATGCTTTCGGGTCTAAAAACCCGGGTTCTGGCAGTTCCGGTGTTATGATTACCTCATAACCTTTAATGGGAGGTTCAAACTACTTAGCTTGGGCTTCGTCTGTCGAGTTGTGGTGTAAAGGTCAAGGAGTTCAAGATCATTTAACAAAAAAAGCTAGCGAAGGTGATGAAAAGGCCAAAACACTGTGGGAGAAGGTCGATGCTCAGTTATGTAGTATCCTGTGGCGATCTATTGATTCCAAGTTGATGCCCTTGTTCCGTCCATTCCAGACATGTTATTTAGTTTGGGAAAAGGCTCGTAATTTATACACTAATGACATATCTCGTTTCTATGATGTAATATCGCGAATGACAAGCTTGAAGAAACAGGAATTGGATATGTCTACTTACTTGGGACAAGTACAGGCAGTCATGGAAGAATTTGAGACGTTGATGCCAGTTTCTGCTAGTATTGAAAAGCAACAAGAGCAACGACAGAAGATGTTTCTAGTTCTTACACTAGCTGGACTCCCTAATGACCTTGATTCAGTACGTGACCAGATTTTGGCTAGTCCGGCTGTCCCCACAGTTGATGAATTATTCTCTCGATTACTTCGCCTTGCTGCAGCACCAAGTCACCCAGTGAGCTCATCACAGACACTTGACTCATCTGTCCTCGTATCCCAGTCAGTGGACAATCGGGCATCTCATACTATGGAGAATAGACGAGGAGGAGGTCGTTTTGGAAGATCTAGACCCAAGTGCTCTTATTGTCATAAACTTGGACACACTCGTGACGTGTGCTATTCTTTACATGGCCGCCCACCCAAAAATGCTTATGTTGCTCAGACTGAGACTACAGGTAACCAGGGATTTTCTTTATCTGAAGGGGAGTATAATGAGTTCCTTCAGTATCGAGCAAGTAAGCAGACATCTCAACAAGTAGCTTCTGTCGCTCAGACTGATACTTCTGTTGCTGGTAATTCTTTTGCTTGTGTTTCCCAGTCTAGTACTCTTGGACAATGGGTTGTGGACTCGGCCGCTTCTGATCATATCTCTGGCAATAAATCACTTTTGTCAAATATTGCGTATTCACAGTCTCTTCCCACTGTTACTTTAGCCAATGGGTCTCAAACCAAAGCAAAAGGAGTTGGACAAGCGAATCCCCTACCCTCTGTCACTCTAGATTTTTCTTTATGTCCCTGGCTGTCCTTTTAATCTTGCATCTGTTAGTCGTTTGACTCGTGCCCTCCATTGTGGTATATATTTTATTGATGATTCCTTTATTATGCAGGACCGCAGTACGGGGCAGACGATTGGAACAGGACTTGAATCAGAAGGCCTTTACTACCTTAACTCACTAAATTCCTCCAAGGTATGTCTAGTTACAAATCCTCCGGACCTAATTCATAGACGTTTAGGACATCCAAGCTTATCCAAGCTTCAGAAGATGGTGCCTAGTTTGTCTAGTTTATCCACATTAGAGTGTGAGTCATGTCAGCTCGGGAAACATACCCGAGCCTCCTTTCCTCGTAGTATTGAGAGTCATGCAGAGTCTATTTTTTCTTTAGTTCATTCTGATATATGGGGTCCTAGTAGAGTCAGTTCAACCTTGGGATTTCGTTATTTTGTTAGTTTCATTGATGATCATTCAAGATGTACTTGGATTTTCTTAATGAAAGATCGTTCTGAGTTGTTTTCTATATTCCAGAATTTCTGTGCTGAAATTAAAAATCAATTTGGTGTTTCTATTCGCACTTTTCGCAGTGATAATGCCTTAGAATATTTATCCTCTCAATTTCAGCAGTTTATGACTTCTCAAGGAATTATTCATCAGACCTCTTGTCCTTATACCCCTCAGCAAAATGGGGTTGCAGAGAGAAAGAATAGGCACATCATTGAGACTGCTCGCACACTTCTCATTGAATCTCATGTTCCGCTGCGTTTTTGGGGCGATGCAGTTCTCACAGCTTGTTATTTAGTTAATCGGATGCCTTCCTCTCCCATCCAGAATCAGATACCGTATGCAGTATTGTTTCCCCAATCACCCTTATACTCTGTCCCCCCTCGTGTTTTTGGGAGCACTTGTTTCGTTCATAACTTAGCCCCTGGGAAAGATAAGTTAGCTCCTCGTGCTCTCAAGTGTGTCTTCCTTGGTTATTCTCGTGTTCAGAAGGGATATCGTTGTTACTTACCTGATCTTCGTAGGTACTTTATGTCCTCTGACGTCACATTTTTTGAGTCTAAACCTTTCTTTACCTCTTCTGATCATTCTGACCACCTTGATATATCTGAGGTCTTACCTATACCGACCTTTAAGGCGTCTACTATAGCTCCTCTTTCACCTTCCGCCACAGGAGTCTTACCCGAGTCTACTATAGCTCCTCATTCACCTTCCGCTACAGAAGTCTTACCCATTCCAACCGTTGAGGAGTCTAGTGTGGCTCCTCCTAGACTCCCTGCCACAGGAACACCACTTTTGACATACCCAGCATCAGGCCCAGCTGATTCACGTCCTGCACCTGACCCTGCTCCTACTGCGGACTTGTCTCTTCCTAGTACACCGATTGTACTTCGGAAAGGTATAGACCACCCTTAATCCTAATCCCCATTATGTCGGTTTGAGTTATCATCGTTTATCATCACCCTATTATGCTTTTCTATCTTCTTTGTCCTCTGTTTCCATCCCTAAGTCTACAGGTGAAGCATTGTCTCATCCAGGATGGCGACAGGCTATGATTGACGAGATGTCTGCTTTACATACGAGTGGTACTTGGGAGCTCGTCCCTCTTCCTTCAGGTAAATCTACTGTTGGTTGTCGTTGGGTGTATGCAGTCAAGGTTGGTCCGGATGGTAAGGTTGATCGTCTTAAGGCTCGTCTTGTTGCCAAGGGATATACTCAGATATTTGGGCTCGATTACAGTGATACCTTCTCTCCCGTGGCTAAGATAGCATCAGTCCGTCTATTTCTATCCATGGCTGCTGTTCGCCATTGGCCCCTCTATCAGCTGGACATTAAGAATGCTTTTTTACACGGTGACCTTGAGAATGAAGTTTATATGGAGCAACCACCTGGGTTTGTTGCTCAGGGGGAGTCTCGTGGCCTTGTATGTTGCTTGCGCCGGTCACTTTACGGTCTAAAGCAGTCTCCTCGAGCCTGGTTTGGTAAGTTCAGCACAGTTATCCAGGAATTTGGCATGATTCGGAGTGAAGCTGATCACTCTGTATTCTATCGGCATTCTGCTTCGAGTCTCTGTATTTATCTGGTGGTCTATGTTGACGACATTGTTATTACCGGCAATGACCAGGATGGTATTACTAAATTGAAGCAACATCTCTTTCAAAACTTTCAGACTAAGGATCTGGGCAAACTAAAGTATTTTCTGGGTATTGAGGTCGCTCAGTCTAGCTCAGGTATTGTGATCTCACAACGAAAGTATGCCTTAGATATTCTTAAGGAGACAGGAATGACAGGTTGACCTGTTGACACCCCGATGGATCCGAATTCTAAACTTCTGCCAGGACAGGGGGAGCCTCTTAGCGATCCTACACGATATAGACGGTTGGTTGGTAAATTAAATTACCTTACAGTGACAAGACCTGATATTTCCTTTTCTGTGAGTGTTGTGAGTCAGTTTATGGATTCTCCGTGTGATAGTCATTGGGATGCAGTTGTTCGCATTCTTCGGTATATAAAATCAGCTCCAGGCAAAGGTTTATTGTTTGAGGATCGAGGCCATGAGCAGATCGTTGGATACTCGGATGCTGATTGGGCAGGATCACCTTCTGGTAGACGTTCTACGTCTGGATATTGTGTCTTAGTAGGAGGAAATTTGGTGTCCTGGAAGAGCAAGAAACAGAATGTGGTTGCTCGGTCTAGTGCAGAAGCAGAATATCGAGCGATGGCTATGGCGACGTGTGAGCTAATTTGGATCAAACAATTGCTCAAGGAGTTGAAATTTGGTGAGATTAGTCAGATGGGACTTGTGTGTGATAATCAAGCTGCTCTTCATATTGCGTCAAATCCAGTGTTCCATGAGAGAACTAAACACATTGAGATTGACTGTCACTTTGTTAGAGAAAAGATACTCTCGGGAGATATTGCTACAAAGTTTGTGAAGTCGAATGATCAGCTTGCAGATATTTTCACCAAGTCCCTCACTGGTCCTCGTATTAACTACATATGTAACAAGCTCGGTACATATGATTTATATGCACCAGCTTGAGGGGGAGTGTTAGAATAGTCATGTAATTAGGAGTAAATAACCCTAATCCAATATGGATTAGGAGTAGGATATGTTATGTGTGTATATAGGGCTCATTGTATCGTGTTAAACACAAGTCAATATTAATCAATAATATTTTCTCCCGTGCATTCTCACAATGGTGATAGGAAAACTTAGTAATGAATTTTCATGCCCTTTTAAATCTTCAAAGTTGGCTACTTTTATGCCCAGTAGGCTATACAGCGTCAAGGCATTTGTGCACAGATTGCTGAGTTATTAGGTTTTTATGGGTAAATTATTGACGAAGAGTGGTCGTGGCGGGAAAAGCTTCTGTAAAATTTTGACATCCTTGGAGGAGTGTTTCTTCTGCAAGTTACGAGTGGTTCATATCTGCAGAAGTTTAAACCAGCTATGCTAAAGTCACTAACACAGTACTACTTATATATTTTTGGCAGTCTGATGCAGTTTGGGACAAAGAGGTGTTTGATTGATGACTGAATCTGATGTTCATAAGTAAGGCTGATATTAGGTCATCTATGTTGCTTATCATGGGGTTGGACGTGTCATTCACTTCATAAATCCTAACTAAATGGCAATAAAGGTTAAAAAAAGGCATTTGGAGCATGAATATAGGTGTTAGTGAACAAGGATCCTTGGATCAGTTGTATTGCTCAACATTTTAAATTTCCTAATACATTTTGGGAGCTTATATTCCATGCTTCTACTGTTCCAGATAGAGCTTCAGACTTAAAAACGTTTTTATGTCCCTCAGAGTTTATGTGCTGTCTCAAAATTAGGTCCTATTGTTTTGCCACTGAAATCACACACTAAAAGAGTATATTGTACAGTAATTAAGGCTTTTCAGATCTTCATGCTTATGAAGTTAATATATAATGCTCACTGTGTTGCTTGAAGGTGAAAGATCAATATTGTGTAATGCTCGCTGTATTGCTTATAGGTGAAAGATCAATACATGCATGCAGAAGGTGCTGATGTTATACAACATATGATAGATAATTTTCTTCTATAGAAGTCAATCGAAAAAGCATATTGGATTGCCGTGGACAATGCTAAATTTACAAGGTATATTAGCTGCTTCTACAGAGCCTTGTTTCCTTTTCTTTTGCTTTCAGAAGTACTAGATGTTCTTCACAGGGGCCCTGGCATAGTTTGTGTGATTTGTTTTGGTTTTACTTGGTTGCAGTTCGGAATTGTAGTAGTGTCTCACTATTACCGCATTCAGGAACTTTAACTGAGAAGCATAGTCAGAAGTTTTGTTAACTCAACTGTGTCCTAGTGTACCCTAAACCTGTTTCATTCTTAATGAAAAAGCATTAATTTTCCATGTTAAAATATTTTCCTACTTTTTTGCACTGGAGGTTGTAGGATATCAACCTCCAAACCATTTTTCCTCTCTCCCGCTACTTTATTGCACTAGGCAATTGGGAATACAAAGTTGCATTAGGATACAACTTTAGTTTTCTCTTGGATAATGAAGGAATGCTGGGGAATTTATGCATTCTTATCTTCATTTTGACCTTCATGTTACTGCTCGTTAACCTCATTGATAATAGTGTAATCGAGGAGGACAAAGGGAGGCATAGCCTTGGTGGAACTGATCCTTGTCCGTCAACCATGAGGTCAGAGGCCTGGTTGAAGTTGCCGTGGGAAGAGTAGGAGAATTTATAATATTAAAAGGAAGGTGTAATCACGAGAACACCACAACTATGCTTTAGTCGTGAACATGTTGGGCTGACGGCATGAATCTTTACTGCTATGTTCCTATTAAAATCCATTTCCTGCTATCGTGAATTGGCTAGTTTATGTTGGTTGTAAGCGTACTGTAACCTCCTCCTTTATTCTGGTTTAGTACTGGCAATTTGAGCAAGTGCACACTAGTATTATGTGACCACATGAATAATAAATAAAACTGTGTTTGATTTCGCAAAATAGGTACTATATTTGTTAAAAAGAGTACCCTATCCTTCATTTTTTAGTAGGCAATGCTAAGTTTTTCTCCTAATCTCCTAACGACGAGCGCAAAACCAGTGTATAAAACTTAGGCTCGCTAGTCAAAGATAGTATAGTTATTAGATCGTCTCCACATGGATTGGTTTAAATAATGTTCAACTAAGTCTTCAACTTACCACTATTCAAGAAAATAAGCCTTTGATTTTGAATTATCAACGAAATATATGAGTAAAACTAAGGTTATCAATTATGAATGAATATTGGAAATTGGGTAGCTAAGTAGCAACAAGTGAATATCAATGAGAGAAATAAGGGCATGACAAGATTGCGCTCAACTATTATTCGGAATATAACTCTATTCTAAGTTCCTCTTAAGCTCTATTGGCTCTTTCAATTTCGATAGATGATTAGATTATCTTAAGGATTCAAATTCTTCGTCCGAATGAATGAGAGTTCTGTTAAACAACCTAATGATAAGTGTTGTGAACATATGCAAGAATACGATGAATGAATGATCCTACAAAGAACGTCTCTCGACTATTCCTCTAAATTGGGTCAATTGATAACTTTACAAGCCCTTTCGATTACCCATGAGAGTCGTGAAATTAATCCAAACAAGATAACACAATGATAATTGCAACAACGCTTCTCTTCCGATTAAAGTAAAACAACAAATAACCTTGCAAACTTTCGTCTCTGATCGGTGTCTTCTTCAGGACCCGAGGACGGGGGGATCCTAGGGAGTTAATCAATTCGATGTAGCTAGGCATTAGTAGATGGGTACCCATGAATATAGTAGCCCTATACAATATTCAATTAGAAACTCTTCAACAAATTCAAGCAACTAACAGCAATCAAATCCTCGAATAATAATCAAGTCACAACATCTATCAATAACCCTAAGAAAGACTACTCCATGGTGGAGAAATTGTTTATCACACGAGTATTAAGTTGACAAGAAAATATTACAACCCACGAATTCAAACAAACTTTCGTATTGAATGATTCAGATGAAGTATTCAAAGTCTCCGTTGTTTTCTTGCCTTCTTCTCTCCAAAGGTTGCTCCCAAATCCCAAATGCCTAGTTTGGGACGAGCTTAGGCTTCATATAGGTCAAGGGTAATGCTCGAAAATTACAAAAATAGGCCTGACTAAAGTTTCCCGGATACGGACATGCGCTGCTGTGCACCAGGGTACTTAGGCGCGCATGTGGGCGCACATCACCTCTAGGCCGCCTGTGACCTGTGCGCGCTCAGGTGCGCGTTTAGCGCTTCAGGTGCGCGGCCGCACATCTTTTTCTTCCTTTCCTTAGCTTGTTTTTGTCCCACTTTGTGCATTATCTGTCTATTGATCATCTCATCAACACCTGCACCAAAAAGAAACATATTAGACCATAATTCGGGCCAAGTCCCTATCAAAACAACCTGATCAAGGACACAAAAAGGGTCTAAATGTCAAGTAATTTTACGCTCATCAAACACCCCCACACTTAGCTTTTGCTCGCCTCGAGCAAATTCAGGAATAACTGTCTCATACCACACTTAACAAGTGACCGACAAAAATCAACCAGACACTATCCTGTGGTCACGGTCAACCTTAATCTTGGTCAAGACCTCCCATTAGCGCCATAGTCAAACTGGCACCAAATTCCCTATACACCTAACCAGAAAGAAATAATGCCCGCTCACACACCAATTGCAGACAACAACATAGGGCAATAACGCAACAATCACTTACCCTAACAAAGAAGTAAATCATGCCTTCAAGAGTACCATAAGATTGGCAATCGTGTGACTCTCCACTAATGTAGGAACCGTTTCGTCTAGATCATGTAGGGATTTGCATTTGGTTGTAACGTAGGCTATAGGACGGGTGGGATAATGTTTGGATAAGAGTACTTCCACCACCCTAAGAACTTTAATACCTACAACTTCATGTACGTGACCTACTCCTTTTTAGACAATTGTTCAAACTTCCCATTCACAAGGACACCAATTCTCATTTTTTTAAGCACAGCATACAAAGATTTTACATCAGCAGGGGAATGTTCACTTTTGTTCCCTTTTTCTTTTTTTTTCTTTTTTTGTAATTCAGAATTCAATCCCCTGCTCGCGTACCTCACATACATTAATGATGGTGCACCTTTTTCCACTTCTCATTGGTTCCACTCAAAAGCAACCCCCACCCCCACACTTGGCTCTCTTTATCTTTTAGAATCACGCACGAGGAATTCTAGTGCTTAGGGACGGCTGTAGGTTCAGGTTATAATGTGGTTGCCAACGAACGATTAGGCTCAACTGGGCTAACTAGGGATAACTTCGTCAATTCTTTAGAGTGGTCAAAGCAGCAAAAAAGGGCTAAGAAAGAGCGCCTATGATCATCTCCAAACTCAACTATTACCTATGTTTTCGCCTTGAGTCACAACCAAGCCAAATTCTAGACCTTATCGGGCATGACTACTAAGAAAACATTTAGCTCACCCCATACAGTATTTTGGATAGGCACTCAAGTCAGAACACGGTCACTAATAGTCTCTCTGACTTACAAAGACAAGATCATGCATCCCACGAGTCAGGCACAGTCGATCTTGCCAACCACAAGAACTTTTCAAAAACCTATCTAAAAAATAAAAATCTACTCTAGAAAGTGTTTGGTTCAAATTATCACGACCATGGTAATGACCCAAACAAGAAACCCATGGAAGTACAAGTCAAGAAATTATCCTAGAAAGATCGAAAAAAATATTTGTGGTTTTTTTCCCAATTAGAAAGCAATTATACGGTTTCTATTTATACCCCCACCCCCACACTTAACTAGTAGCATGTCCCCATGTCACAAAATTAAATGCAAAGGTGAAGGTAACTCCTCTGACTGGGTCAATCTGTGTTGGAAACGGTACGAGGGTCCATGTGACAAGCCCGGCCGAGTGCACGCAGCCATGCCATGATCTTCTGCTCTGACTTTGCATTTTTCCCAGTAAGGGACTCCACTCGAGTGCCCAGATCATCAACAGAAGTGCGCGTCCCAGCTATCTCCTGTTCCAAAGCAACCATTTATGTTTCCTACAAACTGCTTGATAGTTCTCCGACCACCTATTCACGTGGAGCACTAGCACCAACATCTTCCATGTTCACCACCCTTTCCTCCATGGGTGCATTCGAATCCTCACTCTCACCTTTAGCAGCAACAGTAGGTTCCTTCCTAATGATAAACTTCTCGGCCCAAAATTTCTTCTCCCTCTTCACCTTTCCATCTATGGCCTTGTTTTCTGGTACACTTGCCTCACGGCATAATCGGGTGACTAATGAAAGGAAAAAGAATCCATACCTCTACACTGGACAACGAATAGCCATCTCATCATGAATAGCCTTAGCCACATCAAAGTCGTGTTCATTGACCAAGCACCATATAAGAGCTGCCCGAGGACCATTCACCTCAGTCTTGGCATCAATCGATGTTGATGATATGTAGCCAGCACTTCCCGTTAGTGGTTAGTGAGGCGGGTTGAAATTTGTGGTCCCTGATCAGTCATACCACCACCTTCCGGGCACACAGATAGTTTCAAAGAACATAGCCCACGAGTATGGTTCTCTGTTATGCATTGCCAAGTGGTTTTGTTGAAAAACTTGGTCCACATACTCTGGTAAGTTGTAGGCCTTTGGATAGCTTCCTTCGAAAAGTCAACATTTTTCTTCCTCACTGTAAACACATAATCCTCATGTTCTGGGCAATTCGCATAGAACTCCCTAACAATAACCAAATTGGCTTCATCAGGTTCTTCGAAGAACACTCCCGATCCCAGCCGGACCAATTCATCATATACCTTGGGGCAGTCGTCGAGGATAGCCCCTATGTCTATTCCCCCTTCAGGCATAGGTTTTTTGTTTGCCTTGGTATGAGACTGCTCTTGAGCATCCTAGGAGAAAAATTTGTTCTGATCATAGCGGCGAGAAGATGCGGAAGCACGTGATCTAGAAGTACCTACATCTTTTGATTTGGATGTGCCCGCCTTCTTACCCATAGACGTGCTCAGAGTCTCCTTTTCTTTGAAGTGGTCATTTACACCTACAACAATCCAAACAAACATAAGTGAGTGCACAAATACACGGTAGCAATGGGTTGCTTAGACTTTACCCAAATAGTGTCAACAAGTCCACACTACACATTGCCATGTTAAGGTGTCAATCCCATTGACATTGGAGTTTTCTCCTAGTACCCGTTCACCTTCGGAGTTAAGGTGGAATTTCGTCGGGTGCCTAAAAATTGCTAAAACATACCTCAAAACTCACCTAATCCCCATTGTGGCATTTAACCAAACACTTCACATGCAAAGTTGCTCTTATTCCTCAAACTTATGAAATTAGCCCTAGGTTGACTACACTAACAACCAAATCAAATGCAAAACAACCAAACCTTGCATCATTCTCAATTACAACAATTTACCTTGAACCCTAAAAGGAAAAGAAAACAACGAAAGAGGGAAAATAGTGTACATACTTGAGAATTCAATTGAGGAGAGAACAATATATGGGCTAGGGCGAGGAGAATAGGGGAAGAGAGTGAGCGAGGGAGATGAGGGATAGAGCTGAGGCGAGAAGGAGTGGGGGTGGGGGGAAGAGTTAGGGTTGAATCTCTCTTTCTTTTTCTTGTTTTTCATCGGGGCCGATAGGATTAGAGAGACGGAGAGAAAAGAATAAGAGGTGACCCAAAATTTTGGGTCAATAGAAAAAGAGAAAGAAAACTTACCTAGGTGCATGGTCGGGTGCACGGTCGGGTCAAGTCATGCGCCGCCACACACATGTGGCAGTGAAACTGTATTGTGTGTGCACCCAGATGCGTGCTCAAAGCCCCTCGTGCGTGGCCACACAGGTCTAGTGCACGAAGATGTCGTTTTGTGCCCATTCAAACGCGTATTTTACCCCTCCAGGTGCGCCGGCACATATACAAGCAAAACGTGCCCGTTTAAGACCTCAATTTGACCATTCCATCTGCAACTACAGAACTCACACTATACACTAAACCTACCTAGCCTACGCTACACAAAACTAAAGAAAAACCCAAACTTGTAGAAGGGTTAGAGATAGTTCTAAGTTATAGTTGTCAGCTTGACTTAGTCGGGCACACTCAACTGATTATGATGCTTGAGGATTGCTTAGCAAATCCTCCAACAAATTATGGTTTTAACCTATGCCCGTTCACCTTGAAACTCTCAGTTCCTTCAATGTTTTGGATCTCAATCGCTCCATATGGTGATACATGTTTCACCACATATGGCCCCATCCATCTTGACTTGAATTTTCTGGGAAACAATCTGAATCTACTATTGTATAGCAAGACATTTTCTCCTTCATGAAATACTTTTGGTTTAATCAGACGGTCATGCCATTTCTTCATCTTTTCCTTGAAAATTCACACATTCTCATACGTGTCCAATCTGAATTCCTCCAGCTCATTCATCTGTGAAATTTTGTTTTCACCTGCAAAACTAAGATCAAGATTAAGCAATTTAATTACCTAATAAGCCTTATGCTCTATCTCCACAGGTAAGTAACATGATTTTCCATAAATCAACTTGAAGGGTGAAGTCCCTATGGTTGTCTTGAACGTTGTTCTATACGCCCATAGAGCTTCATCTAACCTTATTGGCCAATCTTTTTGGGAAGCACTAGCCATTTTTTTCCAGAATTTGTTTAAGTTTACGGTTAGCTACTTCTACTTGCCCACTAGTCTAAGCATGGTACGAGGTTCCTATTTTATGAGTCACCCCATATTTAGATAATAGTGCTGCAAAATTTTTATTAACAAAATGTGACACATTGTCACTGATGATGACTCAGGGGGTCCCAAAGCGTGTAAAGATGTTCTTCCGCAGGAATTCACATATCACACGAGCATCATTAGTCTTGGTAAGGATTGCTTCGCCTCATTTAGAGACGTAGATGAATGAGACGGTGGAAGGGACCCATAAAGTCGATGCCCCAAATATCAAAGACTTCGCATACCAGAATGGAATTCAGCAACATCTCGTCCCTTACTAATGTTACCTGTCCGTTGGCACTTGTCACATGTCGCAATGTAAGCTCTTGTGTCCTTGTACAAGAAAGACTAGTAGAAACCGGCTTCCATGACTTTTGCTGCTATCCTATTAGATGCTCCTTCATGACAGTGGGATAGTATGTTTTCTATTTCCTCTTCCGGTACACATCTTCGAATCATGCCATCTGCACACAATTTAAACAAAAGGGGTCATTCCACAAAGTAGCTTTTTACCTCACTTTGCAGCTTCCTATTCTAGTCAGAGGACAAGTCATGCGGGAGCCACCCACTAGCCAAGAAGTTGTCTATATCCACATACCATGGCGATCTGTCGTATGCCGCTGCGATAAAAAAGATTTGCTCATCTGGAAACTCTTTCCTTATCGGTGGTTTCTCCAAATGCTACATGTGGTCAGCCATTTGGTTTTCTGCGCCCTTCCTATCCTTGATCTCAAGATCAAACTCATGTAGCAAAAATACCTACCGCATCAGACGCGGCATTGACTTTTTCTTGCTCAGCAGATACTTCAATGCTGAGTGGTCAGTATGTACTATCACTTTTCTCCCCACTAGGTAAGATCTGAACTTGTCGAAGGCAAAAACCACTGCAAAGAAACCCTTCTCCAAAGTAGCATAGTTCACTTGGGCATTATTCAAAGTCCGGCTTGCATAGTATATGGGTCTGGATATTTTGTTCCCTGCCCCAACACTACCACATCGCTGGCATCGCACATGATTTCAAAGGGTTCGCTCCAATCGGGACACACCATTATAGGGGCACTCACTAGCTTTTCTTGATCAACTCGAATGTCGGAGGCACTCTACATCAAACACAAATTTCACATCCTTGGTAAGTAGTACCGTTAAGGGCTTCGTGATGCTGGAGAAATTCTTGATGAACCTTCTATAAAATCCTGCATACCCCCAAAAAGTTCTAATGCTCTTCACTTAAGTTGGTGGTGGGAGCTTAGCAATCACATCAACTCTAGCTCTATTGACTTTGATGCCTTCAACTGTCACTTTATGGCCTAAAACTATCCCCTCCTTGACCATGAAGTGACACTATTCTAGTTGAGTACTAGGTGAGTGTCTTCATAACGTTTCAGCACAAGCTCCCGATTCCTCAAACAATCCTTGAAGTCATCCCCAAAAAGGGTAAAGTCATCCATGAACACCTCCAAACATTTCCCATTCAAATATGATAAAATTGACACCATGCACCTTTGAAATGTAGGTGGTGCATTGCACAGTCCCAAAGGCATTCTTCAGTATGCAAAAATTTATGAAGGGCGGGAGAACGTGGTTTTCTCGACGTCTTCAGGAGCAATGGGGGTATTTGATTGTACCCCAAATAACCGTCTAAGAAACAGTAGCATCCGCGCCTTGCCACCTTTTCCAGCATATGATCAATGAAAGGCAGAGGAAAGTGAACCTTCCTCGTTGCATCATTCAGCCTTCCATAATATGCACGCATCCTCCAACCAGTGACAATTCTAGTAGGGATTAATTCGCTGTCCTTATTCTTCACCACTGTCATGCCCTCTTTTTTTGGCACGACTTGTACTGGGCTGATCCATGGGCTGTCGGAGATGTAAAATATTATACCAGCATCCAGCAATTTGAAAATCTCTTTCTACACCACTTCTTCCAAATTTTTATTCAGTTTGCGTTGGGGCTGCAGTACATGTTTGCTACCTTCCTCCAACAAGATCTCGTGCATGCAAATTGTAGGGCTAGTTCCCTGAATATCAGCTATGCTCCAGCCGATTGATTTTTTATGCTTCTGCAATAATTTCACCAGCATGTGTTCCTTCACCTGTTAAATCAGCAGATACAATCACAAAAAAATTATTAGTCTCAAGAAAACTATATTTTAAATGGGTCGAGAGTAATTTCATCTCCATCTTTGGCTTAGCCATTTCTTTCTCTAATTCCTCTTCATCTACCACTTCGTCTTCAGTATCCAGGGCCTCAGCCTCTTTGTTGATCTCAGGGTGTTCATCATCTGCTATACTCGATTGAGTAATGCATCTTTCTAAAGAATCACCTACCAGCTTGTGTTTTTTAGCTAACTCCCCTACCGCATCCAGTTTGAAATATGCATAGGCAGAAGCCTCATCACATAGGTACTTCATCATTCTTTTAATTTGAAAGATCACCTTTTTGTTTTCCAATCTTAGCATAAGCTGACCCTCATATATGTCAAGGATTGCTCTGTCGGTGCAAAGGAATGGTCTCCCCAAAATTAGGGGTACCTCCTTATTCTCTTCCATATCTATTATGATGAAGTCCACAGGGAAAATAAATTTATCTATCCTCACCAGAATATTCTCGATTATTCCCTCTGGTATAATAGTGGTCTGATCAGCTAGTTGCAATGATACTAGCATAGATTTTATCACTCCTAGTTCTCCTTCTAATATCCTGAAAACAGACAATGGCATCAAGTTAATGGATGCACCTGAGTCGCACAGGGTATTGTCAAATTTCTCACTCCCCAAAAAGCAGGGTATAGTGAAGCTGCCGGGATCCCCACACTTTTGAGGAATTTTATTCTGTAGGATGGCACTACAATGCGCGTTGAGTTTGACCACTATCATTTCCTCTATCTTCCTTGTACTTAAAAGGATTTTCTTCAGAAATTTGGCATAGGCAGGCATTTGGGTGAGCACCTCTGTGAATGGGATGTTCACATACAACTGTTTTAGCATCTCTAAGAATTTCCCAAAGCATCTATCTAATTTCTCCCGCTTTATCTTTTGAGGAAAAAGGTAACACTATCATATGTTTGCTTTATTCAACTTCACAATTTGGATTTTGCTTATCAACTTCCTTCTCGTTGAAGTTTTCTGTGCCCAAAGATTCACCAATTTTTTGCTCCTCTATTGTTTTAGTTGAGTTATTCACCCTTTCAACTTTTGGTTTAAAAATAGGATCCGCTAACGTCCCACCACTCCTTAAAGACAAATCTTTAATCGTCTCTTTTGGGTTCTTCTTGGTATCTGATGGAAGAGTCCCAGGGGCCCCTTCTGACAACATATTTGCAATCTATCCCATCTGTCTTTCTAAATTTTGGGTGGCAGTGTCCTGTTCCTGAATGGTTGTACCGTGTTCCCTGATGGCAGAACCTTGAGTTTCAAATTTCTTGTCTGATTTGTTGTTGAATGCCTTTATCAGATCCTCTAGACTTGAATGGTTGGGTTGTCTAGGCTGGTATTGTTGCCTTGAAAGCCCGGAGGTCCCTACCCTGGTACTATAGGATTTTGCTGCTGCCACGAGTTTAGACTACCACTTGAAGAGCTCCATGAAAAACCCGGATGTCTCTGTCCCATAGAGTTGAAATTATTGCCTCCATGGTAATTGCCTCTCCTGAAATTCCCCACTACCTTCACTTCCTCCTTTGCAGTAGAGGTTTGACACTCATGAGTTAGGTGTCCTATCCCATAAATGTCACATCCTGACTGTGGTTGACTTTGCACCCGGGCCAGTGTCAATTGCTTGACGTCCTTAGCCATAGGTTCTATATGAGCCTGCATTGCTACAGATGATTCCACTTGGTACACCCATGCTGACTTTCTTCGATCACCTTGGTCAGTAGACCATTGATCTGCGTCTTCAGATAGTTCATCAGAGGGCCTGCCACTGCACTATTCAGTAACCTCCTTGATGAAGGAGTTAACCTATCTCAAAAATCCTGGAGTTGCATCTATTGCTCCATTCCATTATGAGGGTATCTCCGTAGTAGCTCCTTAAACCTTTCCCATGCCTCGAACACCGTCTACCCTTCTCTTTGGCTAAAATTGTGAATCTCCTTCCTCATCCTTCTAGTCTTAGCAGCAGAGAAGTACTTTTCTAGGAACTTGATAGTCATCTCCTCCCACGTACGGATAGACCCTATAGGTAGACTCCGCAGCCACTGCTTCACATCATTCTTTAGTGAGAAAAGGAATGGTTTGAGGTAGATAGCATCATGTGATGCTCCATTATAACGGAATGTGTTCATGATTTCATTGAAGTCCATTGGATGATTGTTAGGATCTTCATTGGGTTTGCCTCTGAAGATGCAATTGTTCTGAATGATCTGGATGACTCCCTACTTGAGTTCAAAATTGTTAGCATCAATGGGTGGAGACCTCATATTGGATTTTCGCTGGTTGTAGATCGGTTTAGCATAATCTCCTAGAGACCTACCAGGCCCGGGGGCCGCATTTTCAAACTTTTCTTCAACCAGGGGTCGGTTGAGATTGAATCTTCGACCCCCCTCCTCTTTGATAGTTTTCTCAACAGCTCTAAAGGCTGCTTCAGCTGCTACTGTGTGCAGCTTGTTCTCTATGTTGTACTGCCTCTCTTGCAGCTATGTCTACCACACCCTTTTCATTATTTACCATTGTATCTTGAGTCGAAGTTTGACCCAAGAACGATTCACTTGATTCTTTGTCCCTTCTCAACTGTCGCAAGTGCTAGTCTAATTGCAGATTGTATGGCACCAATTCCTTGGAGGAGGATCGAGTCATACACCACCAAACTTCACATGTTGCCTGCACACAGATGAGAAGAACATAAAAATATTAAATAAAATCTATTCCTGAATTAGCACAGAAAATAATGATGAACAATATTGATCGCCAATCCCCGGCAACGATGCCAAAATTTGACGAGCGCAAAATCAGTGTATAAAACTTAGGCTCGCTAGTCAAAGATAGTATAGTTATTAGATCGTCTCCACAAGGATTGATTAAATAATGTTCAACTAAATCTTCAGCTTACCACTATTCAAGAAAATAAACCTTTGATTTTGAATTATCAACAAACTAAGAGAAAAACTAAGATTATAAATTATGAACGAATATTGGAAATTGGGTAACTAAGTAGCAACAAGTGAATACCAATGAGAGAAATAAGGGCATTGACATGATATGTGCTAAACTTTATCCGGAATATAACTTTGTTTTAAGTTCAACTCTTAAGTTCTATTGACTTTTTCGACTTTAGTAGAAGATTAGATTATCTTAAGGATTCAAATTATTCTTCCAAATGAATGAGAGTTCTGTTAAACAACCCAATGATAAGTGTTGTGAACATATGCAAGAATACGTAGAATGAATGACCTTGCGAATAATGTCTTTCGGCTATTCTTCTAAATTGGGTCAATTGATAACTCTACAAGCTCTTTCGATTAACTATGAGAGTCGTGAAATTAACCCAAACAAGATAACATAATGATAATTCAAGCATCACTTCTCTTCCGATTAAAGTAAAAGCACAAACAACCTTGCAATTCAATTAGAAACTTGTTCAACAAATTCAAGCAACTAACATAAATCAAACCCTCGAGTAATAATCAAGTAACAACATCTGTCAATAACCCTAAGAAAGACTAATCCATAATGGAGAAATTGTTCATCACAAGAGTATTAAGAGGACAAGAAAATATTACAACCCACGAATTCAAACAAACTTTCATATTGAATGTTTCAGATGAAGTATTCTAAGTCTCTGTTGTTTTTCCTTGCCTTCTTTTCTCCAAAAGTTGCTCCAAAATCCAGATGACTAGTTTGGGACGAGTTTAGGCTTCATATAGGTCAAGGGGAATGCTTGAAAATTACAAAATAGGTCTGACTAAAGTTTCTCGAAGACGGACGTGCGCTGCCGTGCACCTGGGTACTTGGGCGCGTATCACCTCTAGGCCGCCTGTGACTTGTGCACGCTCATGTGGGCGTTTAGGGCTTCAGTTGCGCGGCCGCATCTTTTTTTCCTTTCCTTAGCTCGTTTTTCTCCCACTTTGTGCATTATTTGTCCATTGATCATCTCATAAACACTTGCACCGAAAAGCAACTTATTAGACCATATTTCAGGCCAAGTCCCTATCAAAACAACCCAATCAAGGACACAAAAATGGTCTAAATATCAAATAAATTTTACGCTCATCACCTACCACCCCCTCCCCCACAAAAAGAAAAAAAAAAAGAGGAATACTGCAATAAACAAGAATATTACATCTCTTATGTTGATTGAGAAACAATTAGTGTAACAACAATAATAGGATGAAAGGACTAAGGAGTAAACTTTTATGCTTTTTTAAATGTTAATTGTGAGCACGTGATTTTTGCCCTAAGTGAATTATTCCCAAAAATTCAAACAAAATGATTTCTTTATTATTTTTACAATTTTTGTGAATTTTTGTGTTATTTTCTGATAATTGTTGCATTTTATTTGTGCATTTAATTCATATGGAAATATAAAAATACACTTGACATTAGCATTTAGGATTTAATTTCATGTTTTAGGATTAATTAGTAGTTAAATTGCGTCTAAAACAAAATATAAACAAAATAACAATAGTCCATTTTTTGTTAAATGTTGAATTTGTCATGGGTTTGCTTTTAAATAGGATTTAATAAATTTTTAGGAATTAATTAGTTTAATTTTGGAAATAAATTAGGTCTTTAATTTGGCATTTTACTAAAGTCAGAAAACATAAAAATACAAAATGAAAACAAAATAAATAAAAGAAATAAAAAAGGGAAAAGAAAAGAAAACAATTAAAAAGTAAAAGGAAAATATAGGCTTTGTGATATGCCCACAATTGGGCCAAATTCTAATCTAATTCCCTAGCCCAAGCAATTCCCACCGGAACCCGTTCGCCCAAGCCCAATCTCCCATTACCCGGTCCAGTTCCCCCATGATAAAACGACGTCGTTTGGCGTCACACAATCCAAGCCGTCAATTCTCTCTAATCCAACGGCCACAATTGATTTTTGTATTTACATAAAACTGTCCGAAAAATCATACAAAACCTAAAACACATCCTTTCTTCCTCGTACTGTGTCTCCCTGTAACGCCGGCGTAACGCCACCGTCACCCCACCGTACGCCGCTGGCCAGAAATCGCCTCCGCCGGCGGCGATGCTCCAAAACACCCCAAAATTACACCATTGAATCCTCTCCTCCTCCTCTTTCTATATCTAGCCTTAACTTCCCTCAAATCCTCACCAAAAGCTTCAAATTTCAAATCAAAATCTCGGCCAAAACGCAAGTTTGTCCAAACGACCCCAAATTCACACCCTACATTCCCCTAATTTTCCTCATCTCCAATCCCCAACCAGATTTCTTCGAACATCACCACATCTCCTCGAATTTTAGATCGAAAAATGGCCAGAAACCCTAAAACCCTAATATTGGGGATTTTGTTGATTTTGGGCTATAATAGCCCTCAATCATGTGTTTTCTTATGAAAACACATGATTAAGGGCGGTTGTGATCCAAAATACCAAAGAAAACCATCAAGATCAAAGTCAGTCAGTAGAAGACCACAATCAGTGAGTTCGTTTTCCTTTTCATTTGTTTTTTTCTTCTGTAATAATAAACAATAACAAACATGTTTAATTAAATCCTGTTTGTTAATAAAATTAGGCCCTGTTTGTTATCTTTGATTAATTTTCTTTTTGTTCCTGTTTGTTTTGCTCTGTTTGATTTGTTTTAGCCAGTAGCATGAATTTGTTATTCTCTGATTAGTCAAAATAGTTTAGGCATATTTTTCTTTCGATCAGTAATAAGTTTGGTTGGGTTTGAAATTCTATTTTTAGCTTAGTTTCAGTTTGACGATTTGATTGATGATTCTGTATACTCTTGGATTTTTCTTGTTAGCTTTTGTTTGCTTTTAAGTTTTCTATTAGTTTTGGTGGTACATTTCAAATTAGTGATTGTTTCAG